TTATAATGCAGAACAACTCTGTGAAGAACTGGGAAACCATTTTTGCAGTACGCATCAAAATTAAAACAAAAAATTGAAAATAGAATATATCACTTTGTATTAAAAATTTCAAATCTTCCGTTATAATATGCGACACTATGTTCTTTGCTGATATAAACAAAGTTAATACCATCCATTTATCATAAAAATTGAGCAAGATACAGCATTTTGAACACAACGCTTAAAAGTGATTAAGCGCCTAATAGGAACGGACGTTTAAATGCAGAGTAGCAACGGGCATTTAAACGCGCACCAGCAGCGGGCATTTAAATAAACTCCGGCCAGCTCAAGCTTACCACTATTTCGAAGTCCGGCGTTTAAAGGTTAAAGTTTATAAATAGGAAAAAGAATACAAATTTTATATTAGGTACAGCTCCTCACAGATATGACTTAATGGACTTCTCATGTGTTAATGAAGAAATAAAATTGTTCAATAGGAAAATACATTAAATAATGAAGTTAGAGTAATGTGAAAATACTGGACATTGAATTGGATAGACCATGTTATACCACGCATGGGCTTCACCTCAATGTAACTGGAAAAAAATAAAGAGTGAAAGAGATGATGATAAACCACATATGGGAATTCACAACTAAGGACAAGGGAGACACTATTGCCCAGAGTTGGATATATAATTTGAATGAACATTGCCAAGTAGAGGGAAGAGATAACACAAGTCCAGAAGTCAAGGAATTACAACTGAAAGATGGAAAAGAAAAAGAAGCTAGTGGAAGTGAGAATTTGAGTGATTGTAATTGTGACCAGACAGTAGGGGTACACAAAAGTAATACAGAGGAAACAACGAAAGGCAATAGTAACAATCCTTGATCAAGAAAGAGAACACAGTAATAGAAGGAAAAGAAGACCACCTACTAGAAACGAGGATTTTTATGGGAGTAAAATCAAAATCAAATATTCTTACAATTAAGTTTATTTCAGTCCAATGTGACATATAATGCTTTCACCACTTCAGCACTTAGTTACCTAACATGTTTCGATTCCTAATGAATCATCGTCGGAGGTATATCACTATGATCAGGAACCCACCAATACGTAAATGTTTTTACAAGACTATATACACTTAAAACATTTATGATGCTCACTATATGTAGTTGTTTAGTCTTTCATTGTCTAAATAGATGTCTGACATAAACTTCTATAATAAGAACATTCCTGAAGTATATTACTTAGAAGTGATGTAGTTGCAATCACTTCCATAAAGGATAGTTTAAAAATGTAATTTTCCACTGCACTATATATAAAATTCAATTTGTTTCACCACAGCAGCCAAATTAAATTTTATATATAGTGCAGTGGAAAATTACATTTTTAAACTATCCTTTATGGAAGTGATTGCAACTTCGTAACTTCTAAGTAATATACTAGGTGGTTCAAATATGATAGGGACTGATGGTTTGTAAACAAGCCACACTGCGCAGCAGCTGTGCGACCTTGAGAGAGTGAAGCCACAACCTCCACCCTCCCTCCAGTTAGGGTTAGAACCTGTTCAGTCCTGTCTGGAAGTTGCTAGAGTGATGAGTGAACAGAAGGTACCGCGGAGCGTGGAACAACGCATTGTGATCAAATTCCTCATTGGAGAAAACGTCCTGTCTGCTGAAATTCACCACAGACTCCAACAACAGTATGGGGAAGAGTGTCTCTTACGGACCCGTGTGTTTGAGTGGTGTAATTGCTTCAGAGAGGGCAGAGAGCGCGTGGAGAATGAACCGCATGATTGTCGGCCGTGAACATCCGTCACCAAGCCAAACACTGATCGTGCAGACGCACTTATTCATGAGAATAGGCGCATCACTATCAAGGAACTTGGAGCAATGCTGTCCATCAGTGTTGG